AAGAGCAACAGCTACCTAAATTGTACTTTATGTACAGAAGTCCGTTATCTTGCAGCAGTATTAATTCATGACTGCATACACATCTGGATACTGTGGCTCTTCTGAAAAAGAAAACCAGTCAGAGACATTTGACTCCCTGGTACAACCCACAAACATGAGCCTTCAAGTAAAGAACTCATAAGTTGGAGAGGAAATGACACCTTGCTAATTTAGAAGATCTTCATTTGGCCTGGATAAATAATTGCTCTATAAGGAAAAAAAGGGTCTTTGTAAAGCTAGGACATCTTCCCATATGTAAGAACGAGGAAAATGGGAACCTGCCAGGTTGTCAGCCTTGTACTCAGGCTGACAGAGAGTTTGAGCTCTGTTGAGCTATTGCTTTAGCTTTGACTAGTGATGACTTCACTCATTTCTTTAAAAGTCGCCTTCCCACAGACGTGCCTGTAATGGTCGCTGATGTTTGCTAGTACTGTTTCCCTCCTATCCTTCTTTACTTATTTTCATTCATTTTCTCCTTTAAATCATCAATAAGTCTAATTCCTACAATTAATTAATGTTTCAGTTTTAAATATGATCAGTTTATCTTTATTAAAACAGACCTGTTTTACGATTGCGGCAATTAATTATTTACTTAAAAAAGCTTTTACTGTCATAGCAAATTATTGTATGGACCAATTTCTATCCTTCATTTTATTAACAAGAATAGTTCAAAAATAGCTGAACAAGTGTATGCAAAGAAATTGTTTATTTGAGGAGTTTCAGTCAGGATTCAGACTACATTATAGTGCAGAAACAGCTCGAGTGAACGTTACCAATTATCTTTACATTGCCTCAGAAAGTGGACTTATTCGATTCAGTTCAATTCAATTCAGTGTTATTTTATATAGTGCCTTGAGGCAACTTATCGTGCTACACCTCAGTGCATCATTTGATATTCTTGACAATAACATTTTATTATATAGATTAGAGCACACAATTGGTATTAAAGGAATTGTGCTGTAATGGTGTGACTCGACTCTATCTGACAGAGTTCCATTTGTTGTTAATGTAAATGAGGAATCTTCTTAGTTATGGGGTTCTGTTACTTACACTACACCAATGCCAAGTAGCTGGTGGACCTAATATCAGACCACAGCAAGCTCTCTGAACAGGCAGACATCCAAGACTGGCTTTCCAGTATGAGGAGTTGGACACCACCAAGCCCTGACATGATTCACGCCTACTGGCTGAAGAAGCTGACTGCACTCCATCGTACAAATGAACCAGCTAATAACCAGCTAGTCAATGAGAGATACCCAGAATGGCTAACCGAAGGCTGGGCAGTCCTGACACCCAAGGACCCCCAGAAAGGACCGGTCCCCTCCAACTACCGATCAATAACCCGCCTCAGGGCCACATGGTAGCTCCTGTCAGGCATCATAGTGGCTAAGATGAACATGGCTCAATAGATGAGAAAGGAATTTGCAAGAATACCAGAGGCAGAAAACACCAGCTACTAGTAGATGGAGCAGTCACCTGAGACTGCAAGACCAGGCTGACCAACCTGTGCACTGCCTGGATTGATTACAAGAAGGCCTATGACTCAATGCCCCACAGCTGGATACTGGAATGCCTAGAACTGTACAAGATCAATGGGACCCTGAGAGCCTTCATCAGGAACTCAGTGGGGGTGTGGCGTACAACACTAGAGGCCAACTTCAAGCCCATAGCACAAGTCACCATCAAGTGCGGGATCTACCAAGGAGATGCTCTGTCCCCACTGCTGTTCTGCATAGGCCTGAATCCCCTCAGTGAGATCATTGACAAGACTGGCTACGGATACCGACTACGGAACGGAGCAGTTGTCAGCCACCTCCTCTACGTGGATGACATCAAGCTGTATCCCAAGAGTGAACGAGACATCGATTCACTGATCCACACTACCAGGATATACAGCAATGACATCGGAATGCCAGAAGGCGACATTGTAGACACTGAGGGCAGTTACAAGTACCTGGGGATCCCTCAGGCAAATGGGAACCAGAAAAAGCTGCAACCACCAAGTACCTACAGAGATTAAAGCAAGTCTTGAGAAGTCGGCTGAATTGGAAGAACAAGATCCAGGCTATTAACACCTATGCCCTGCCTGTGATCAGGCACCCTGCTGGGATAACAAACTGGTCAAAGGAGGGGATGGAAGCCACTGATAGCCACTGAAAAGGAAACTCCAGACCATGCATGGAGGGTTTCATCTAGTACCCTGAGACTGTCCGCTAAGCAGAAGGAAGGAGGCCGGGGACTAATGAGTGTCAGTACCACAGTCCAGGATAATACAACAAACATCCATGACTACATCAGGAAGATGGCCGCAAACAGCCACGTGCTCAGTGAATATGTCAGGCAGCAGGAACCCAAGAAGGAGTAGCAAAAGGAGGAACTATCATGGAAGGACAGGCACGGTATAAACCATTGGCAGATAAAGGAAGTGCTGACATCTAAAAATCCTACCAGTGGCTGGACAAAGCTGGACTGAAAGACAGCACAGAGGCACTAATCATGGCAGCACAGGAACAAGCTCTGAGTACAAGATCCATAGAGGCTGGGGTCTATCACACCTGGCAAGACCCCAGGTGCAGGCTGTGTAAAGATGCCCCAGAGACAATCCAGCACATAACAGCAGGGTGCAAGATGCTAGCAGGCAGGGCATACATGGAACGCCATAACCAAGTGGCCGGCATAGTGTACAGGAACATCTGTGCTGAGTATAACCTGGAAGTCCCGAGGTCAAAATGGGACTTCCATGGTAAATGGGCTTTTCTAATCTCCCAGAGCACTCTACAACATGCCACATCACTTTCTTCTAATAGCTTTCACTCTAACATTGACACTCATTCATACTCCGATGGATGCACCTGAGAGCCACTTGGGGTTAGTATGTTTCCCAAGGATATAGGGTGAAGGTAACAGTGGTCCCCGTGGTAATCGGAGCACTCGGTGCAGTGACCCCAAACTAGGTGAGTGGATCCAGCAGATCCCGGGAATAACATCGGAGATCTCTGTCCAGAAGAGTGCAGTCCTGGAAACAGCTAAGATACTGAGCAGGACCCTCAAGCTCCCAGGCCTCTGGTAGAGGACCCAAGCTTGAAGGACAAACTGCCCGCAGGGCTAGAGGGGATTTTTTTTTGTGTGTGTGTTTTTGTGATTTATTAAAAATGTGCAACAATAAATGGAAATACAGTATATGAGGCAAAAACAGTGTGTAAAGATTTTATACAATCAGGGTATAATCATGGTGAAGGCCAGCATTTTCAACCACTTACTTTTATTTTTCATCACTGAACTCCGTTAGTCAAGTTCTGCAGTTTTCTTGAAGAGCACTCCAAAGCTGATCTTTGTGCTAAGATGGGAAGCAGAGCCTCCATCACTGACAAGGTTCTAATGTGTTTTTTATTGCATTGGTGTGTTTGGGATTAGGGCTGGTTATCATCACTGATTTCTAGAATCGATGTGATTCCGATTCACAAGGTCCCAAATCGATTTGATCCACGATTCGATTCGATTCGAATCAGGGAAATTTTGCCTCAGACAGTCAGAAATATTATAATTCTGATCACTTATCAGTACATATCTATATTTTTATATCTATAAAAAGAAAGCTGACACTTGTGAGACTTTATCAGAGGTGTGAGCATCACAGCAGAGGCCTTTGTGTCAAAGTAACTGAGGATAAAACAGAAAAACATGAAGGAGATTTTCCTGATCTGGGATTTTATAGCAGATGACCCAAAAATATTGTGCAGTAGATCAAGTGGCTTTAAATCACTGATTTTGTTGGGTTTCTCTCCAAGCCTGTGTTCAAGGTAAATAAATATTAGTTGCAATGATAATTTGTGCTGCTTTTAACAGCATACAGTATGAGTTCTGTGTAGCAAACTAAGTTACTGTGATTTTATACAGAGATCTATTTTTTTGTTGCCATCATTGTCTTAGTGGATTATTTTGCTAATGTAAGTAAATTTGTAGATTGAAACTCTTATAGAAGCTAAAATGTCAGTTTTCTTGCATCTGTGACAAAAGCTCAAATAGCTCCATATTTCCACATTTGTATCTGTGGATATGCAAACATGCAGTTGTGATCACAAGTTCAATCATCATCATCGAACCCACGCAGGGTCAAAGGTGCATCTACAGGCTCAGATAAATAAAGTGTGTAAAATCTCACTGCAGTCAGCTGAACTCTGCATTATTATTGCTACTGTTTTATCACATGACAAGGCCTGTTAAACGTTTTGTTAGTGATCATGATTGACTTCTTTCTGTCAGCATAATTTGTTTGGCAGCACTCTTCTGATTGGCCTGAAGATCCAAGAGCTAAGAAGGAGAACTGTGGTCAGTTATCAGAGTTTTGTCACAAGCTTGTTGATACAAACGTATCCTGTTAAGGTTCAACTTGCTACGGGACATTTCACCAAATATTCATGGGGATTAATGTAGATTTGTAGATCCTGTATTTATACTGAGGTTGGGGATTGCACCTAATGCTTAAATAAAGATCTGTTCTGTACAGTTACTCCACCCTGAAAGATGCCCATAATGAGTCTCAGACCACAACTGCAGATCTTTGACATTAGGGCCTTTCTGGCTTTAACATTTGACATTTTTATTTTTCCTTTGCATGTCTTCGTGCTGTAGTAACAGTATACTATTACAGAATAAACGAGGTAATGTGACTTCAATGCAGGATAAGGGAAAATGCACACATGCGTGAGAACAAATGCCTTTTTGTGCTGAACATTTCTCTTTGTATTTCCTGTCGTGATTGTGGATCAAAGTGCTGCTGCTCTAAGTGCTACTTGCTGAAACATTCTGCATCGTAAAGAACATGCAAAAGGCTGTGTGCACTGCCAGCCCTCTGTATGAACTATGTGTGTAATTATTTGCATGATAGTCAGCATGCAAGAAACAAGTGTGTTTCTAATACTACCTTTGCTTGTTTTCTTTGTCTCCTTTTTTTGCTCTAGAAATCAGCAGCAACAACATGCCAGGTGAGTTTTTCTAGTGAATAATGTCAGATGGAAGCAGATATTCAAGTGCAAACAGAAGCTACTGTTCCAGCTTAATGATTTACTGAAATGTTCCTGCTTTAACATAATTCACATTGCATTCCCTGAAATGGGATATTTCTTTTACAAAGGAGGGACAAATGACAAAGACTATTACTATGACACTATATGTTAATTATTCAACCATGTGTAGATATTAGGTTCATCTTTCAGTTACAAATGTCCATAATATTTCTGTTTATTCCTTCAGAAATCTGATATTCAACACAGATTTTAGGATCATGGTTTCATCATACCAGTAGTTACAGATTACTTCCCTCTAACAACTTCTACAGAGATATTTAAGTATCTGATTGAAAACAAAGAATTTATTAAACTAGAGCATTGCAGTAATTCTCATTATTTTACACCGTCTTTGCACAAAAGTGATGAAGTTCAGTTCATGTGGACTAAAACTTCACAGGACATTGTGGTGTGTCAAATGCTTGGACAGCTCATGAGCTGGCCTTCAGGAAATCATATTTAAAATATGATATATTCTGTCACGTTTAAACAATTCATTTTAAAGCAGCTATAATACTAAAAATAGAAAAAAATAGAACTGGACAATAACCAGAAAGAGAAAAACAGACATGTCACTGCCATCAACTGGATGTTTAAATAAGCAGCTGTGTGTTAGCAGGACAGGGACATAAACGAATAAACTGAAGACATTTCAATAATGTGTTTATAATTTGTGTTTGCTGCCTCAAACAGCCAAACAGCAAAGAGCAGATATCGCATTGTTATGTCTATGCAGCAGGTCAGTTGAGTTCTGCTACACAAACTTAAAAAGCACACACGAGCTTTTTATGTGTTACACTCGTGACGAGGAAGCCTCCTGCTCAGGCGCAGGAAGCTTCGTGGCACCTGTGTGATCTGATGTTATGCTTTCACTATGGGTGAAAGCATGAATCATCACAATACCAGAGCGTATTGAAACTAAGTGTTCTCTGTGCTGAAATATTCTCTTTCACTCTTTTCCTCCCCTCTCTTTTTTTCCTTTCCTGTTTTCTTAAGGCCTTGCACATATGATGGCAGAGCAAGGTATGCCTCTCTTTATGTCTTTGCTACGAGTCTATCTTCGGTTGTGACTCTGTTGTGCTGTGCTGTGGTTGTTTTTGATGGTGTTGTTCAATATACAATGTTATTTTATTACCCCTCTCTCCTTCTTCTTACTGCCCTAAGAAAACTGTAACAAACAAAGCTTGTTTTTTCTGAAATGTCTCGTCCTGGAGAGACTGTAGCTACAGTGGGCAGCATCAGACGTAGTCTGTAGAGTGTTTCTGGAAATCGGGCAGAGCCAAGCGTTACAAGGAGGAAGTTCAGAGATGAAGTGAGACAGAAACAGCAGTGTATGAGTTATACTGTGGACAGAGGAAAGGAGACAAGGACAATTGTCTTTTGGTGGAATGAGGATGCACAGGACAGAAAAGGCATTTCACAAAGGAAGGAGCGGGAAAGGTGAAGAAAAAGGCTTTTATTGGTTTGTATGTAAAATGTGACACTAAAGAGAAAGATGGATTGGCAGTGATTGAGCTAGAAACAATGTGAAACAGGTCAGGGTGATTAGGAATAGAGATGGACACGGGTGTTCACCGTGCACACGGGTGTTCACCGTGCACACGGGTGTTCACCGTGCACATCAAATGGACCAATACGGCAAGGCCGTGATGATCCATTTGGCAAAGTAAATCCATTGGGTCTCCTTGTTGGTCTTCAGACAACAATTCTGACGGCTAAAGAACCAAATGGGACAGGAAAAAAAAAGAGAAAAGGAATAGAGATGGAAATGTAGTAACAAGTTACAGGTGTGGTACGAAGATGGGAGGAGTACTCTGAGCAGCAGATAAATTAAGAAAGATGAGAGAGAGATTAGGATGGATGGAGGAAAGTTAGTGATTCAGAAAGTGCAGAGAATTAATAAGGAGGAAGTGAGCACCTTTAAAAAGGGATTGAGAGTGAAAGGCACTTGGTCCACATCACACACTGGTGCAGGTATGTAGATGTCTAGGAGAGAGGAGCTGATGGCTACTGTGACCACAGAGGGAGTGGCACTATACCATGAAGCTATGAGAAAGAGTTTTTAAAGTGACCCGATGATCAGTGAGCAGCAGAAAGAGAATTACAAATTCTTTCACCCCAACCAATCACAGCAGATGGCCCCGCCCCTCCCTGAGCCTGGTTCTGCCGGAGGTTTCTTCCTGTTAAAAGGAAGTTTTTCCTTCCCACTGTCACCAAAGTGCTGCTCATAGGGGGTCATATGATTGTTGGGTTTTTCTCTGTATCTTTGAAGCGCCTTGATGCGACTTTTGTTGTGATTTGGCGCTATATAAATAAAATTGAATTGAATTGAATTGAAATGTGATGCTTGCTTTGAGAATGTTGATGGAGAAGTATAGAGAAGGTCAGAAGGGCTGCACTATTTCTATCTAGAGAAAAAGTGTCATGATGTCAAGAGAGGAACTATGTTTGCAGACACTGAGATGTGTGGTGAGAGTAGGAAGCAGGCGGAGAAAGAGCTGAGAGGTGAAAGTATGCAGTGGATAGAAGAGGAATGAATGTCAGTAGAAACGGCATGAGTATGAATGAAAGGGTAAATTAGTGAAACAGCTCTGCATGGTCATGTAATATATTGTAAGTTTATTTTCATGCATGCATCTCTACTTTTAGATGTTATATAAATTTCCTCATTTTCCTGATGAGTGTTCTCTCCGCCCCTTTTCCCAGAAGTTCTCTATTTGAGTAGTTACTGCTCGTGGCTTTCATGTGTTTGAGATGTACAGTTACATCAAAGATGGTGCTGTGCATTATTGAATTCTATGACGTGTCTGCTATAATTTGGACTAAATTTCCCTCTTCTTCCTCTCCCCTCTCTGGGCACTCTTGGCTGTGGACTCTCCCCCTGCTCTTCTAGCTAAAAGCAAAGGTACAGCTTTTTCAAAATCTTTCCTTTTCCACCTCTATGAAAAGCGCCGGTTGCTCTGTGAGTGTTTAAGAGCAGTGCAGTGTTATGTGTTTGATGTTTTTAAGGTGTGTATTTGTCTGTATCCACTTCTCTTGTGTAATGGCGTTTCACAGAGAGTGCTTGGAGTAAGCAAGTAATTAAGCCAACTTTAATTGAAGAAGGAAAAAACACACTGTGTTGCTTTCTGCTTGTTTATAAAAGTGTGCATGTGTTTTGTAATTTGATCTGAGTTGTATACAGTACACCTGTGTGAAAGCTGCATGATGTTAAAAGAACATCCGTCACTGTGGAGCAGTTTACAGAACAACCAGGAGAAAATAAAGGATCTTCTCCTGGCTGATGGAACCAGTGACAGAGCAGGTTGTCCTTAAATGCTCAAAATGTAACCAGTGTGTTGTGGTCTGAGAACGATGTAGGTGCATTTAGTTTATTTATGTTACTGATAATTCATCTTATCAAGCAAAATCATGCAAACAGACCATTGATACACAACAGTAGATCATTTAAGCTTCCCAGTAATTTAGTTTTTAGATGGATGCTGTTGATGTTCAATACCCGATTCTGCATCTCTTAATATAAACGTGCTCCAGAGCAGGGAAACTGCGGTTGGTGATCTTTTGGGCAGATTTCACCATTTCTGCAGCGCCGTCTTGTCAGCCTCAGAGCAGTTACCATAACAGACAATTATAGAAGAAGTCAGAACACGGGACACCAAGATCAGCTGCTTCAGCCTCCTCATGAAAAACAGTCATTGATTCGCTTCCTTCATAATACTGGCTGAATTCGTGGCCCATGTGAGGTTGCTCTTCCACCTCTTTCCTGTACGTAGAGATCAGAGATCAGAGATCAGACCAACAACAGCCATCTACAAACCTCAGAATATGATTGCCTGGATACTTTGCTGACGTGAGAAGTGTACACAGTAGAGGCCACCATACACACCCTGGTGGAGAGCTGGATTACACAGTAACACAGTTACACACAGTAACAGCTTATTGGTTAGTGTCTGTGGAATGATGGTATTAAATGCAGAGCCAGAGTTCAGGAAGAGCAGGCTGACACATGCATGAGGGCAGAGTGGTTCTTCCTGTATGCATGCTGCTGTGTGCTGAGCCCTGTATCCTTCAGAGATCTCACCTCCACATTTAGCCAGGGTTTCTGATTAGGAGAGACGATAATAACCTTTGTGTTACACATTGCACTTGCTGATGTATCCACAAACTGAGCAAGCAAAAGCCTTTAAAGTCCACCCCACCATCATGAATTGCTGCCTCTCTGAAAACCTGCCAATTGGTCTACTCAGAATAGTCCTGGAAGCATCCTTCTAAGCACATCACATGAGCTAGGATAATTTTCAAGCCCTCCAAGTAATGGCCCGTGGTGCTGAAGGAAGGGAAGTTGAATTGGCTGATTTTAGGGACGGTCATCTCATCCATCATTGAGCAAACACTCAAGAGTTTGGGTAAGCCTGAAAGACTCTGCCGCTATCCAGAAGCTAAATCAAGACCTTGGAAAGTGGCTTACCAAGGTCAACAAATCTGGCCTGTCTGGTAGATTTAAAACTTGGATCCACCAGCATCCCATCCTGTCCAGAGTCCAGCAATCACTGCTGGTCTTTGCAGTCCCAATAAAACCTGTTAAGTCTTTGGAAAGAAGTACTTCCCAGGGCGATCGTGGCTCAAGAGTTGGGAGTTCGCCTTGTAATCGGAAGGTTGCCAGTTTGAGCCCCGGCTTGGGCTCTCGGTTGTTGTGTCCTTGGGCAAGACACTTCACCCGTTGCCTACTGGTGGTGGTCAGAGGGCCCGGTGGCGCCAGTGTCCGGCAGCCTCGCCTCTGTCAGTGCGACCCAGGGTGGCTGTGGCTACAATGTAGCTTCATCACCAGTGTGTGAATGTGTGGATGACTGGATGTGTAAAGCGCTTTATGGTCCTTAGGGACTAGTAAGGCGCTATACAAATACAGGCCATTTACCGTAAGGGCTAGCAGTTTTTTCTTTTAACATTGGGCTGTTATAATACATTTTCTACTTTCAGCTTTATCACATCTTTAATATGTGTGATTGTAAATGTGCTACTGAAATTCTAGACAGTATAGAGTGTACTGGATTTATAAAGCAGAAAGCCTACCTTTGGATTAAACCTCCCGTCTGTTATAATGTTATAAAGTATTAATTGAACTTCCAAACACTTGTTCCACTGCATGTACAGTTGGTGCCACTCTATGTTTGATGATCACATAATACTTCAGCATGCCGTAGGTGTTGGTACAAAGTCTTCAGTGCAAAAAGGTTGTCGGGTGTTTGTCCTGAGAAGCTGTGATTGGCTGGATCTCGCTGTGTACACCTGTGATGGCTTCCCCCATTCACAGAAAAAGCCTGTCTAAGCTCCTGGAGATTCCTCTTCCCTCACCACCTGTGCTGTTTTTCTCGTTACTGTGTCTAATCCTTGAGCAAGATGTAGACATTATTAGGTATCACACACATACACAGGCTCCCTGTTGTCTCGTGTTAGGCAGACAAGAGGCTCCGTTCTGGCTCCATTTGCATGGCAGCTCACTGGTGGCAGAATAGCAGAGCAAGAAAGGAATAATAAAATGTGGTGCGTCTGCAGCTGTGGAGTCACATTTCTTGATGTGTTGGGCTGACATAAAGCGATTCTGTCCTCATCTTGTTCAGATATCTGGTCAGACTCTTTTTGTCTTTTTATTATTTTCATGGTCAGTCACCCTCTCTGCTCTACTTATCTGTCTTTGCTTTCTTACTCTGCATCTTTTTACTCCTCTCTTCACTGCCTGCCCCTCTTTCTTCGGCTCATCAGTTTTTGTCAGCTTCGTTCTCTGTTTGTATTTTTTCTTTTATTGCATTTTTGTATACCTTCTGCTCGTTTACATGAGCCTATGCGTTTTGATGAAGCAGTAGAGCCAATTAAGAGAGTGTGTGCAAAAATGCACATTGGCAATAAAGCTGTCGCAATCGTAGCTGAAACTAGTTTGTAATGTGAACAGTATTTTGAGTCGTAAAGTCTTTCCTGAGATAAAACTTTGTTCAGTTTTGTTGCACTTTTCTGTTTTCACTGGTGTTTATGACGAGGAGTGAACAATATCACCACCATGCATGTTATCTTGCTGTTGCTTCAGACATCACTTCATTCATACAAACAGTAAAAAATCAAAAATAAGTACATGAGCCTATAGCTTGTTTGTAAAGATACTGCAATAAAGTATCAACCTAATATACAATTAAACCAAAATGTTAAAGCAGTTTCGATAGAGAGCAGTTTGTGAAAACAATACTGAGACACATCCATAACATTGTCTTTCTCTAATAAGTAGTTAAGCTGCTCTGCTGTTACTCTTTTTCCAAAACCTGTGACACAAACTTCTAGACTGGTCTGTAACTATTCGACAGAGGTGCGTCTACTGTGGTTTCTTTGGCCCAACAGCAGCTTGTTTGAGCTGGAAACTGAGCAATAATCATTTCCATGATACAGTGGCCAACACAGTCAAACACAGTCAAACACAGTCAAACACAGTCAAACACACTAATTAAAAACAAAGTAGGAAGGACATCGAGGGGGCTTGAATTTGGGGGACATTATATTGAGACAATGATGGAGAAATACTAATGTCAGTGACCTAATTTACAAATTGTTCAAAAACTGCACTCAGACCTGGTGCATGTGGAATATTGGAAGAGACAATATTGTTGCATCAGGTGTGGAGGCCAATGTGACAATATCTCATAAAATGACAAATATTTATCCAAGGACAAACATGTTACCATTGGACAATATTTTGTTTCAGAGTTGCTCCTGTACCTGAATAGATTGAAAGGATGAAAGAAAAGTGTCATGAAATGTGGGGATTATCATATGTGCAGGGCCAGAAACATGTTGCTGAAAGTTAAAATACTCTGTGATAATGA